GTGTCAAAAATTTAAGCCAGGATCCCCGCGAAAAAAGGTATTTTCTACTTTTTGCGCAGTAGCTTACTTGATGAGGGTGATCGGTATTGGAGTGGGGCTTGAACACCGCACTTCTGAGCAGTTGAAGAGAATTTTCGCGCTCCAGAACCCAAAGATTCTGTATTGAATCGCCGGCCACCTCTGCCCGTTTCGATCTGGATCAGCATCATAAGGGCATGCTGCCGTGCTTTTCTACTGCGTGATGCACGTTAAAGACCCTAGGCTAGCGGTCGTACTGCTCTGGCTAAATGCTTTACGTGCGGCGGTAAAGTCAGACGCCCGTCGAAAGTGAATAAATTCCTGTCAAAAAAGAAACAACGGAGAAGACAATTATTATTATTATTTGATGCGTTCGTGAGATAGCAATATACACTCACTCTCTATACCGCATCTTCCCCGTCGTTGATGTAACGCGGCTGGAGACATGAAAAAACCCCAATGGAGCGCGTGGCTTAGTAGGCCTGCAGCGCTACCTATCACAGGAGAGCTAAACTATTATCGAGGTTTCAACAATGGTCCAATATTTGTAGTGGGTCCCCACTTGACCGGCTGTCGCTGAGCCACTGCTGATATCAGCACCGATTGTAGACACGTTCCACGACAAAACCCTCAATCAAACGTTGCTTAAAAACAGCGGTTGGCAAGCTGAGTTATGAGCTTTTCGGCCGTTCATTAATAGGTTCGCGGGATAAAAGTTGATAAGCTATTTTAGTTTTAATTTTAAAGAGCACCGCTACTTGTCAAAATCAGAATTTCTCCTTTCACGTCAATTCTATAAAATGAACTGAAAACTGCGTATTATTGTCTATACCACAACCATTATCATGTAACGCGAAAAACAACAAAAAAGCAGATAGTCTGCCTCCTCCATAGTCTCTCACTCCTGCTTTTTTTCTATGCGAACGCCGCAGGCTTGATACAAACGCAGCGCCGAAATCGGTGTCGATTCAGCAATCATTGGCCGCTAAGCAGAAGGGACAACAAAAATCAAACGGATACTAAAATGCCACTCGTACACGCAATAGCATCGATGATAGCTAAACTTTTCTTTCGTTAGATGGCACTGGAGGTCTTCGCAACCACGCCTTCCGCGCCCTGCCATCTTGGCCTGCTGGGCTGTAAAAGGCGTTCTGAGCGTGCGCAGTAGATTTCTTGCCCGAAATATGAGACGCCATGCATGCGTCCACAGCCCAGTGACTCAACCATTTTCGCCTCGGTGATAAGTGCTGGAAAGGTCTATAGTAGGCGCACAGGTTAAGGGTAAAGAGGAAGTTTCTCCCACGTCTTTCCACTTTAGCAGAGCGCACGTTGGAGAGGAGGTCGCCTCCTCTCTAGCGTTCGCTCTGCTAAGGTAAAAAGAGGGGATGGAGCTTCCACATAATTGCTTAACCTATCACCGACTATAGTCTAGGCTTGAGTTCGGTTCTGTGGCCTGGCATTTCTTAGCGGAAATGTGAAACTCAAACTGATACGTACTGTTTATGATCGCTACTTCCAACGCCGTTTCTATTTTGACTACACTTTTCTGCTTATTCGGATTTCGTTGATACCATTCACCGTTAGGAGAACAGAGCGCGACTTAGTTTTTTGTACAAAATTGTGAATAGCGTTCTTCGCTTTTACGTGGTGTAAACATTCATGTCCCTCCTCGTTCCGACAGGAACCGCAGCGCCTCTCGGCATTCACACCATCTGTAAACTATCTCCTCTGTCACGAATACAATCTGTCTAAAAATATTGAAAATGCCGAACTTGATATATAGAGTGACATTAAGGTGTTCAGGAACTAAGTGAAAGTGATTGTCGCCGAAATTTAAATATTGCGTGTCTGATGCTTTGTGTGCCAAAGAGGAGACCTTGGTGGTTGTTTTGGGGCACTTAAAATAAAATAAAATACAATGAAAATAAAATAAATAGCTGAAGTAAAAATGAGTCACATTATTGTAATCTTCAAAGCAATGGGATATATTTAAGACTCTTTAATTTCCTAATATGAAGGTGAGCCATTATGTTTTCAGGGGTGGGACCGTCTTTTCTCGCTGCATGTAACTGTACGCTACGTAGTTGTACGTGACTAACACCGCTGATACAAGATTTGCAATTACTAGTTCATCTAGTATATTTGTGAGTATTTCCATTGTTTTTACTCTTACGTGCACATTACAGTTCCCTACTTTTTTTTCTTTTTTTTTTTGCAATGCATCTGGGCCTTCACAGAAAATAAATATGAGAGGAAGTATGCTTATTATTTGCTTTGCTGGCTATAGCGCACGTGATCCTGATTGCATATTTTCCGAAAGCAAACAAGGATGAGCTTTGCTTTATTTCCTGCGCATTTAGTTGTTATTTTTCACTGGCTTTTTTTCCTGCATTCATGAAAAATTATGACCATCGTAAGTGCGCCTAGCAACGGCGTATAGGTGTGACCAGAAGCTTACCTGCGCTAAGTGAAGAATATCTTTCGTTGAACCACCAGAGGGACTGTGGGAAATGTATACCGGCAATCGTGTCTAGAGAAACAGAATTTTTGCAAAGAAGATTATGTTTGTTAGATACAATTAACAGACTACGTTCTAAATATATGAAACTTCATTTCCTCTATAAAAATATTTGTTTTTTTAGAAATCGAAGCGTACAATATTTCCGCATTAAAGCAATGTAAAATGTATTGGTGTATAGGAGTGAAAATAATGTTATTTCTTTACAAGGGAGGCGGCTGTTTCTTGAAAACAAAACTGTCATTGATAGCTCACTTTCCACGCCTCTTTTGAGTTCGAAGTTCTTGATACTAAATTCAATACTCGTGAATAGCATTTCTATTAACTTATATTATAGAAACGTGCAAAAAAATGAAAGCCGTTTACAAATCCCTGTAACGCCGAATTGGAGCGCAGCTCTTGAGGAGGAGTAGGGAAGGGTACTGAGGGGGGTCACGTCACCTACGGGTAGTCACGTGACCCCGGGGCGTCACGTGATCTCGGGGGAGGGGGCTCACGTGACCTCGGGGGGGGGGGGGTTCACGTCACCTCGGGGGGAGGGTCACGTGACCTCGGGGTCACATGACCCCCCCCCCCCCCCTTACGCCGACGCCGACGGCGACGCCGACACCGCTCAGGCTGGAAACGGGCCCCTAAGAGCTGCGCTCTAAAAGTCTTTATAATTATACTTTTCGTCAGAAGGAACTAAGAACTTCACAGACATGGATTTACATTCACAAAAAGTATCATAACCTGAACAAGTGTTTCCAGAATTTGGGATCTACACATACGGTATGATGTCTTGGCGTGGTATTCTATCAACATCTCGAATGAGGGCAATTATTTGCAGAGAATTTTTCGAGCCAGTTTAAGATGTTGAATTTGAAAGCTGATTTACCTTAATCCTGCAGTGCCAACATAGATTCGCAACTACGTTGATTTAACGTTCCGCGCACCGCGACCATACGTGCATGTTTTAGAGCGCAGCTCTTAGGGGCTTGTTCCCGGCTTGAGCGGCGTCGGCGTAACCAAGGTCATCCCAAGGTCACGCGGCCCCCAAGGTCATCCCAAGGACACGTGACCCCCAAGGTCACCTCAAGGTCACGTGACCCTCAGAGGTCACGTGACCCCTCCCCCGAGGTCACGTGACCACCTCCCAGGGTCACGTGACCCCCCGCCGAGGTCACGTGACCTCCCCAATTACGTCATCGTCACTGATGACGTCACCGGCATTGTCATCGTCATCGTCATCATCACTGATGACGTCATCAGTGACGTCACTGATGACCTCACCGGCATCCGCATCGCCAGCATCACTGATAACGTCATCAGCGACGTCACTGATGACGTCACCGGCATCCGCATCGTCATCGTCATCATCACGGATGACGTCATCAGTGACGTCACTGATGACATCATTGGCATCGTCACGTGAACCCCCAAGGTCACGTGACCCCCCAGGTCACTTCACCCCCCCCCCCAGTACCCTTCCCTCCTTCTCCTCAAGAGCTGCGCTCTAATTCGGTGTTACAGGGAGTTGTAAACGGCTTTCACTTTTTTTTTGGAACATATTTTAGATTTCTATGAATATATCTATGTGTATCATAGTTGCAATCATCATGCATACAGGAGTTTTATAACCACGTTTTTTTCATAATCATTAACTAGAAACGTATTCCACATATCGAATACAGGGAATAATAGTAGCATTGCAAGTCGTGATCATACGAGCCAATTGAAATATTACTGAATTTGTAATTCCTGTGACCACAGTGAAGACATATTTCTTGCAATGCCAAAACTTCCTGAAATGAAAAAAAGAACAGACTTTTGCCCTAAAACTCAAATAGAGGCTAATGCAATGTTATCTTCTTTATTTTAAGAATAATGAAAATTATCTTACGGATTAGCCGTCTAGGGACTCTCCAGAGGTTTTTCTTAGTATACATTATTTGGATGAGTCACAATATTTAAATTGATTCCACGCAACCACTGTTTGGTTTTCTATTTTCATAATATACGCTACCAAAATAAGCGCTACTGACAATGTCTAGGCTGGGTGCTAAGGATTTGACAAATAACTGTGTATAGGCTCATTTTAATTGGGTTATGAATGTCACATGTTTCGAAACAAAACCTTCGGTCGTTTTTCTAGCGGATTTTGTCGGTGCGTGCAATAGGAAACACTATTAATTTTAATGGTGCTTGCATTTCCCCGATTAAGATAATGTTAATATAATATGGGTTGATATTTTTAATTACATTTCTAAATTCCTAGTGTAACAGGACTATTTTACATCCGCAAAAATGAAGCTTGCAGTTGAGAAGAAAGATGTTAAAACAAAAAAGTCAAATGAACAAACTTGATGTTTTATGTCACATAAAAACTACTTTGTACTCTTTGGGGGACGTAGTAAATTTCTTCACAATAAGCATTCATACAAACATTGAACTACTTAAAAAACTATGAAGACAGTACACTAACGTGGTTCATTTGATTATCGTTGATATCGGCCATTAACATAAGAGGTGTATTGCAGATCAGTCTAAACGAAGGAGTGGGGCAGAGGTTTTTGCCGAGCATATTTAGAATGCCAGTGTTCATCGTGATGTCTGCTCCGAAAAGTCCCAGCTGCCACTGCAATACACAGAACAGTAGACAATGATAACTGCAGGGCGCAACCAGCAAACATTTTAGACATTGTAACTCTGGAACGGGGGGACAAAAAAAGGACGGATAGACGCGAAGCTTCAGAACTTTGAAGGTTTGTGCCTTTCCGTACTTTTTTTGTCCTCTCACTCCTGGGTTACCATATATATCATAATCAACTCGCCTGTGTACATGCTTTAACAGTGAAAGCTCCCCGACTTCAAAAAGCTGCCGTATTTCGTGTGACTTTACATGCGTAAATCGTGAGTTCAAAACATCAGTTAGAGAGCTGTCTTGGAGCGACTACTTCTCACATTTTTAACTAGGATTCCGTGTTTTCGCAGTTTATTTTTCATTAAATTCAGATAGTGCTTACGAAGTTAATATTTTGCAGTACATTCGGCGTTTTTCGGAGTTTAAGTTTTTCTAGACTTACAATATTCGGAAATTCGTAGTTTAATATTGCAAAATTCCCAATAGTTCAAAATTAAAAAAATACACGGACATAAAAGTGCAACCACATTCATTAAAACGCGCTTGTAACAAATAATAATATTCCAGAGGGATTAGGCGTTGGCACCCTTGCTATTGGCTTGACCAACTGCCCTAAATCTAACTTAACTAAACTTTTTTAAACTTTCAAATGACTTTTGCGTCAATAGATGGCAACACTTTAAAATCAAGAAATTCCTGGACGTAGTTACTTGAACACTTTCTTTCCTCCCCATCCCATTCTACCAGTCCAACTGCTGCTTGTTACGCGGTTCCTTATCAAGCTAGGGGCTATCGCCTGAATGACCTCATGTTATGTTTGAGTACAGGTCAGAAATATACAGTCCGTTGAGGAACTGTGCTTTGTAACTTGCCTGGTGAGGTAAATTTATCTTCTCCTTCGTGAGTGGCTTTCTCTGTCAGGTTCGTTATTATATGAAGGTGGAGCTAATAATGTCTTTTTGTCTTTAGGATGTTCCTCAACTAATCATTGTATGATGACATTTTCACTCATTGTATGATAAACAATGAGAAGATTCACGCAATGCAACCGTAAAGTATGAGAACCTCAAAACATGCAACCGTTTTTTTTTCCTCTTCACAAAGCGAAATACCAGATTTTTCTGCGCCATTTAGGCAGATTTTCGGTTTCGAGTGGAAATGCAATGGCACTATTACGGGACGGGCAAATCACGTAGCCGTAATAAATGAAGAAAGAGTGTATCTGAAACTTACACACAATAAAAAAAGAAAGGGTGCTCATTCATATTGTATACATTCCAAACTAAATGAGATTTCATAATAACTGTAAAAAAAGCCCACCTGCAAAAGAAACCAGATTTCAAAAAAAAACTTCATGTATTTTGCTCTTTCTTGTTCTATTATGAAGTAATCGCAACCTAGAGGACCAACAAAATTCCAAGTTCCTTGTTAGGTTAAGGATAAGGTTAGTAGTAACCAACGCATATCCATATCAGCTTCGTCGGTACAGGTCGGTGTCTGTTTATTTAATAATTTAATGTTTCTCACGCTCATAACAAATGGAAATTCTATTTTCTAAATTCACCTTGTCCCATTTTAGGCGCAATCAAACAGCCTCCAGATTGTAACCCTTTCGAATGGCATTTACAAACCCCCCTTGACAGCTGAATGCTAAACACCAACTTTCATTTTATGCTACCAGTGCTCCTAAGAAGAGACGCGATACATTATTTTATATATGTCGTCTTGGATTGAATGAATATAATAGACATACAAAATTTTCGAACTGTTACGGGTCAAAGTCAAAACACACACAAAAAAAGGTTTTTTTAGAAAACATAAACAGTACATTAAATTTGGCAAACGCTCGAAAGCACCAAACAAAAAATACATTTTATGCTCAATACTATATGCTCTAGGCGGCAATCAGGGCTACGTCCAGCAGCAAAAATGTATATTTAAATACGTGCAATCAGTGTCAAGTGTTGTTCTGATCATGTAAATCCACACAGAAAAAAATGTATACCGTTTAAATCCATCACGAGAAATCCGAAAGGAATTCTCACCGCAATCAAATTTGAAAAAGGAACGAGGAGCCTGATTGGAGACCATGTATGCCCAATATACGGCACAGGTCCAATGGCACTAAAAAGGTTGATCTAGGGAAGAAAAAGAAAAGTAAAAAACGATTAAATCTTCCGACCCTCGCAGCACAAATTTTTTATCTACAATGTGGGGTTCCGAACTTTGGATGCTGTACTTTATTGGGATCCTTTCTTTCAGCTGTCTTCCTAATTAACTGCCATCGCGCCTAGAAAAAAAATTAATATCGCATAGACAGGATTCATCTCCAAATGTGGTGTTATTAAAGGTTCACGTCTCGTTATACGTATTCAAGCAGTGAATGTTTTGTAATTTCGTAATTTCTAACGTTATATACGTTCTTGGGTTCGCTCTACGCGTGTTTTAAAGATACTCAAAAGTGTGCCCACAAAAATAACCTATTTTCTTTAATCTTTGCCCCTTTACACCCAAGTACTCAGGACTTTCAACGTTTTACCCGAAGGCATGAAAACTGTGTTTGCGGCGTGGCGTGTTTAAAAAAAAAAGTTATTTTGCTAAGGTTAGTGTTGTGCACAAGAAGAATGACCAATGCGACATCGGAAATTATAGGCCTTATTAAATTTTATCTGAATTTTGAAATCGTTTCGAGAAACATTTGTTTTTGCGTTGTTTGATAAACATGGCATCTCCTTCACAGTTTGGTTTACGCAAAGGCCAAACTATAGGGCTTCCTCTATTAGAACAAAAATAATATGTTTTTCGAAATTTTGTGGACACAATAACTACAGTATCTTATTGCTTTCCGTAAGGCGTTCGACCATCTAAACACAATCTATTAATTAGAAATCTATAAACTTAGGTATTCGTGGAAAGGCGCCAAGTCTTATTTTAACACATGTCGCACATCGCAAGTGGTACATTCATATGAGCAGCTCTTCTTCAGATATTAAACCATTTGTATCTGGTATCTGGCGCACCCCAAGGAAGTGTTTACGGACATTTTTTAAATATTTTTAATGACGATATTGTGAACTTGGATAAGTACATCAAATATGTAATTTACGCTGGTACAAGCCTATTTTTGGCAACTGCGGTCAGAAATTTGTAAATAGGGAAAATCGAGCTCGAAAAGACTTGGCTAACTAGGATGGCCTTAATGCCTCGACGATTAATTATAGCACAATTATGGAAATTTTATTTCTGCCAAAACAACAAGAATAATAATATTAGTAGTGATATTAAATTAAAAAAAAGATGTTGTGCGTAGTTTTAAAACACGCGGCGTTATATTTACAGAACCAATGAGATGGGATATGAGGTAAATTTTACTATGGTAAAGCTGTCGCAAGTCGGCTTCACGACCGTCACCACCATATTTTGCTATTCAGGGGAAACGTATAAGTGCATAATTCATTATTCCTTTCCGATGCGAACTATTTTTTTTTTGGGGGGGGGGGGGGTGCAATACAACTAATACAAACTTGTACAAAGTACCTATGTTACAGAAAAAAATGCTCAAGAATATCTGTGATATTTTTTATGACCACCTTAGGAAACCTTTTTTTAAGTTTAAATTTGGTGCACGTTTACTGCCTGTATAAACATCGGTCATGTGTTTCCTATAAATGAGAAGTACAAAAGAATTTCTGTAGCGGTATTGACTCAGCTTTTCTTGTACCAAAATTAAAAATATGCCCAAATGGAACGGCACACACTTGAAAACTACCTAATATAAAAACAACCAATGCCGAGCACATGCTTACAAATACACTTCAAACCTTGCTTAAGTCCCTTAAGACTACTAATACTGACTTTTTTGTTTCATCAGTAAAACATCTTCAAACCTTTTTATCGATTTATTAATATTTTTATTTTAAGGATGCTGTGTATGCATTTTTACCATGTGTAGAATGTTTGGTAGGAATTTATTTGTAGTTCCTGTTTTTATTTGTTAGCTCTTGGTATTAACTATTATTTGTGCTGTTTCTGTGTTGCTCTTTGTCAGTGCATGTTTGCTGCCGCTGCTGCCATCGAAGGAGGGGTGTCGAGGAGTCGTCAAGCCGCATTAAACAGATTTTTTCCAAGGTCTCCATCCATCATATTTTGATGGAAAAGAAACAGATGATGATGATGACAATATTATTAATATTATTATTATTATCATTACTATACCCTTCTGAATACATTTTCAGCGTTACTGACAAAGGACAACTTTTCAGGTTGGGAAGTGCAAAAAAGACTGAAAAATAAATGACCCCCTGTCCGCTCCCGTGTGAGCACTGCGGACTTAAAGCCAATTGGAAAAGATGAATCGGACTAATCAGTCATAAATAAATTTTGACAAAGAACAAATAAAAAAGGGCTTCGTCATTACCCAAGTGGCTCAATTAATCGGTCCAGGCTTGGGCCTGACTGGCGCGAGCTAGAGCAAAATTGGCTCAAGCCTGGCTCAAGCTTCCGCCAAACTGGCACAAGTATGAGCCAGGAAAGTGTACTGCTAGGGTATGCTTGTGAAAGCTAATTATTGCGCTGGTGTCGTTTTGATTTGAATTGGGAGGCTGGTTTGCCGAAATTATGATCGGGTGTTTGTTTCTATCTCTGTTCGTTGTTTTGTTCTCGCTTCTGCATACTTGTTCTTGATTTGACTTGGCAGGCTGGTTAGCCGAAACCTTGTTTACGTGCTGGTTTATTTAAGCTTTTCTTTTTCGCCTCTGCGAACTTGCTGGGTCCAGTCTTACAAGCCATTGTCGGCTTAGACGGAGCCGTAATTTACATACCGAAAGCGTTGTGTGAATAAAAAGATTATTATTTACTCTCTTTCCCACTAATATTCGTTTACTCTCTTTCCCACTAGATTTACTCTCTTTCACACTAATATTCCTAGTGTTAGGAAGTATTGGGATCAATTTTGCACTGTGACAAAATATGTAAAACATCTCGCTGACGTTTTGGGTTCTAACTCAGGTAAATGTACCATCTATATCTATCGATCAATTTTTCCTTCCTAAATATCGAGAATTGTTCCCTACATGTTTGGGTTAGAAAGGGGGGGAGGGGTATCGCAATATTTGTGAAAAAATCATGGTTTACAAAACTTTTGAATGTTACATTTGATCACGCAGAGTGTATAGCCTTAAACATTTCTAGCCCATTATACTCGGTTACGTTACTTGCCGTCTATCGCCCCCCATCTGATAATGTTACGTCTTTCTTATATTTACTGAGATCAAGTTTGGCCGACTTCAATGTCGCAAAACAGCTTCACGCACTCGGCGACACAAATATTGACAATATAAAACCTGCAAAGACAACCCGTCTGTTACTACCTCAATATTATTTCAGAATTCGGTCTTTAGATTACTATACAAGCCCCTACCAGAATAATTTTTAATGGACATTTTTTTTCTGCCTGTCTTGATCACATCAATTTACGGGCTTACAAACTTCTAGTTAAATCCGCTGTATTTTTGCAAAAACTTGCCGATCATTACTTCACTGCCGTTCAGTTAATTTAAAATACCCCTCCTAAATGCGCCACTCCTGAAACACGACAAATAGAAGTTGTTGATCGGAGCTTGTGCGAAAAACTAGTTTCTGGTTATGAATGGGACATCTTAATGCGATGTTTTAGTCAAGAGGAGCTTTACTCTAAATTCATACATGTATAGCAAAATTTCACACGACTCCGTAAAACAGTTGTTACAGTTGAACAGCGCTACGCGGAAGATGTGTGGTTGAGCAATGACATAATCGCCGCAGTTAAGTACAAAAAGCTCTTGTGGACGTGTTGCCGCCGCTCTCCCAATACCCTAGAGCTTTCAATCAAAATCAAAAGTGAACGAAACCGAATAACCGCAAATCATTCGCTCAGCCAAGCGAAACCATGTTAAACAGAAGCTGGTTGATGCGCATTCCGATTCCCGCATAACCTGGCCTGTCGTTAAAGAAATGCGCGGTGAACACAATGCAAAACATTCTGACGATGAAACGATTCCAAAGTATCTTTCTGGTAACAAACATTCCACGACTACTGCATTTAATCCTAATTTCGGAAATACGTCAAGTGTCTCACGAGAGAGTGGCCATTGTCACTAAGCGGCCATTTGAAAAACGATTCATCTGCCTTTCTTTCTGAAATAGATGAGGAAGCACTACATAGTATGCTGCGTAGTTTCAAGCCTGGATTATTACCCGGTATTTACAATATGCGTAGAAATTTTAAGTCCCTGAGGAGTCTAATTATAGATGTTTTAAACGGTATTATAATATCCAATAATAATCCTAAATATCTTAAAACGGCAATCGTCTTATATAAAAATGGAGACCATGGTAAAGTTATCGTCCAATCTCCATCTTGCCTTCATTAGCGAAACTCTAAGAAAAACACCTTTTCTTGCTAATGACAGCTTTTTTAGATAAATTTGATATTCTGTCGGCACAGCAGTACGGGTTTATAACCGGAAAAGGCGCACAACCTTTGCTTGAAGATGTTGTTTTTTTTTATTTACTTTATAGTGCGTTCCAGCACAACCTTTTCACATGTGCGCTTTTTCTGGACGTCTCTAAGGCTTTCGACTCCGTGTCCCATTAAGTTATCTTGAGTAAACAATAGAGTCTTGGCTTTAGAGGCCCTTTTTACGCATTGCTAGAAAACGTTTTGTTAAATCGTGCTCAGCTCGTCTCCATATGTCATATTGCCAAAATGGCGTTCCTCAGAGCTCTATATTGTCACCTCTTTTGTTTAATATTTATGTCAACGACCTCCCGCAGGCGCTAAAGCTCTGTAAAGTATTTCAACACGCCGATGATACGTTTTTTTCTTGTCCAGTCATATACGTTACTGTGATGCCGTTGATTTGCTCCAATTAGTTGAAATACGGGTGATGGATTGGTCTTCGGAGAATGTAATTCGAAACAATCCTAAAAAAACGCAACTGATATGCTTTCGTAGTCCGCTAAAATTGATTTTCTTTTCAAACTGAGTATTTTGCATCTGCGAGCCAATAGACTTGTCAACAAAACAAAATATTTAGGATTTCATTTTGATTGTAATCTATCATGGAAATCTCTACTTTTCCTACATCTTTAAAGAGTTACGAGCCGCTTCCTGCACTCTCTACAACCTGCGCATATTTTTCCGACGTCAACGAGAGGATTTCTGGTGCATGTGCTCGGTGTATTGAATACTTCGGTATGGGATAGCTGTGTCGGGACAGTGTACGTACCAATTAGACTCTAAAGTGAACTCTTTACTCAGAGGAATTTTGCAAAGCGTGCAATATGCCTCGAGTCTCCAATCATCTGATAGCCTGTTTAACGACCCTCTATACCAACATGTCGAGCACTATTTTGGCAAACTGTAATAATCAGACACTATTAGAATAACACTTTTAAAAACCCCAACCACGCATGTTGGGCCCTTCCAGATCCGACACCGATTACACCGATGCGCATCATCATACATCTTGGGAAATACATTCGTCTGTACTACGTACCTGTCATTTTTAACTACCTTTACTCTGCTCTATTTGATGTCAAATCTCGAGGAGGTTTGAAACGTCAACAGAAAGCTTTATGTTCAGGCATGTAATGTTGTATTTACCTGCCTATGCAATTTTTCTTTGCTCTTTTCACTTTCCCTGAACTCTGTGCATTGTGCCGTAGCGCACTGCCTGTACATATTCCCTTTTGTCGCGCGTTCTGGCTCTCTGCTTTTTTTTTATTTTGTTCTAGGTGTGCATTGAAGTTAATAATTTAAGGACTAGTATTACAAGCCTTTATTGCTTTGATGCTCCCGCTATTCTACATTGATATACTTAAAGTACCTGCAATAAATGTATTATTATTAATATTAAAATTATTATTATTATCATCATTTTTTAAATTTTATTATTATTATTATTAAAGACCCTACACGGCTCGATTAACTCTCCCAGCCTTCAGTACGAAGTGAACCTTAGAGTCCCACGTCTGCCTACACTGCTTCAATCGTCATTTTATATAGCTCGACATTTTAGCCACTTAAACCCGATCCGAAGATCAGCTGAGTGTTATAGCCACTACTCTGATACAATTGATATTTTTAACTCACGCGGGAGTTAGTTCGGAAACGCTGTTGGAAACTTCCTTTTGCAAGAAAAGGGCTGATCAATATAAGGGTCGATGTTTGTCAGTACGATATCCAAGTATTTGCTTTTTGCTGTCACACGTTGTGATGTCTGTTTTGTGTTTCTGGTTCCCTTTGCTGATTTCTGTGTCTTTCGTACTTGTTCATATTTTTATTCTTAGACTGGTTAACTACGTTCCCCTTCTGCACTTTTGTATGTGTGTGTGCTTTTGCTCGTTTTTTTAAGTGCCCTAGCACTGAGACCGATTGGTTGTTCCTGGACACTATAAAAACCCTGATGAATTGATTGACTCATTTGATTATTATTATTAATAAATACTCCGAATCAACGCAGAGCCGTGGTCTAACTAATAAGAGTGCTCTGCTCTTGGCAGCACTGTGACATAATGCCAGCCCCAAAGAGTGAAGTTAAGACTTTATATTTCAACGCAGCCTTTATTTGTTCAAGCATTATCAGGCTCATCATATAAATGCGCGTTTAATATTATTATAACTAGAGATCATCTACCACAATGTCATTACTCGCTGCATGGCTCATGATTGTGGGATTTAAATATATATATTTAAGTTTATGACGTTGAAATACTATCACTTTTTTAAACATTGCTTGGCTGATTTTTACATTGAACCGGGTCGTCATATCTTCATAAACAAGTTATTAGCTTTTGTTTTTCTGTGGTAGGTACGACATAGCATTAAAACTCAATAGTTGGATAGCACTTTTACAAATACGAACTTTGTCTATAAAAATGTACAAACTTATAAAAATGTGGCTTATACTGTACAAGGTTCTACATTCAATCGAGTAGACCTGAAAATACCTGTTAAACTGTTTATGTGAAGGACAAACACAACCACCTTCAACTAAAGGGACCATTGACTTCTCGACCTGTGATAAATATTATAGATATGGCTTATTGGCAATTTTAAGGCAACAAATTCGAATTTGGCGTTCGATGATATCATTTCAAGGTGCCCGAGTACTGCGAACTTGAAATGAAACACTTCGCAATCTTTAGAAATATGTGTGCAGCAAACAGTTAATCGATAGTTTTACAAAATGCGAAGGTTGTGCACGAGTTGAGTTGAGTAGTTACCTTTCCGTTGTAAGCAGGCTTTTCGGACAGAAGGGCAAACATCATTAATGCACCTTGGGACCACCCCACGTAATGCAAACGTTTTTGTCCCGTTTTCTTCAAAACAAAATCCAGCATTGCAGGTAGATCAATTGTGCTCAATTCATCTGCACTGAAAGCAAACATAGCACGTCCCGGTCGCAACATGGTAATTTCGCAACGATAACAAACACTAGAACACACCAAGGACAGGTTCACACACTTTCGATTGCTTTTGGACGGAAAGGTTTAAAGGGGGTTCACACTTCAGTGACCAACTACGACCGTCTCCGTCACCAGCGGTTTTTAAGCCACTTGTGACTGCTTGCGCCTCAACGCGCAACAGCGATTGCGATGGTAAGCTGTTTATAAACGGGTTGTGTGAGAGTCGATCATGGTCGGTCGTGCAAGTGTGAATCAGCCTTCAAAAACGGCTCCAAGCATCTTGTGACTGTTTCCGACCGGCTGCGCAGCAGGCCGCAATCAATCACAAGAGGCTTAAAAGGGGGTTAGAGGTTATTCGGTTGTAAAAGGCAGTCACAACTACGTGAACTAGCATTACAAGTCTATTACCACCGTTAACAAAACCTTGAAAAGTGCATCTGTTGCAACGGATTATAGCCATCATGCACTAATCTGAATATTCTCAAGCTGCTTAGGACAATAATATTGATATTGACAACTTATAGAAAGCACCCTCCGGCCATCTTTTCAACCATATCATGCCACTTCAAAGGGGAGTGTTATGCCTCAGTGTACAGGTATAGACTGGGCATTTTCCGAATATATAAGTTCACCGATGTTTTATTAGATACTTGTATATGTATAAGGCCCCCTTTTTATGGATCCTCTGCTGCTTCTTTTTTTTCTGGGTTTTTATACACAAGTAAATACAATAGTGTGGTTATTTTTATTAAGATCCTTCATATTACCTTTTAAAAGAAAGTAGCAAATCGAATCTAATGAGAAGGCGAAACCAGTCTAGTGAACAGGTGACGCGCTCGAGAAATAAACTTCAGCGTGGGCGGAAACAAAATACGCGAGCAGAGGCAGTTTGAAAGGTGAAGTTACAATAGCAATAAAGAGGGTGATGAAAAAAAATGGGCAATAGAGTACCCCAGGCACTTAGCATCTGCAATCTGAATTTTAAAGTTTCAACTCTACAACCAACAAACACATATTGGACTAGGTGACACTTGTCAGGCAGAACCAGCAGCCATTGATGCTGCAATTGAACCTCTTTACTGCTTTTATCTAAAAAGCCACTTAACGCAGCGTCATTGTCCAACGGTTATATGCAACTAATCAGGGAATTTAGAGTCGCGCAGATGGCACATATCTCCTCGCTCGAAACTTGTGGATTAATGAATCCATGGGATTTTTTGTGCTCCGCTTACTATGGGCCTCGAGCGAGTAATCATTTATATTCAACCTTTTTATGCGTCTACCCATGACTGTATTTGATTAATACTCCGCTCTTTCAAATGTAAGGTAAGCAAGTTTGAAACGAGGGCAGATCTCTCAATTGAAATATTTCCCATATGATTATGGCCATGTCGGTCCGTTGTTTAGTTGATACCGTGACATTTTTTTGAATCACCAAACATGATTATTCTAAAATAAATTGTCTAGAAGTACAGGAAGGATTCCAACAGAAAATGAGAGAAACTAAAATATTTCCTTCAAAAATAACCTTTTCAAACCAAAGACTGGTGTAGTAAAACATCTCCGGGTAATAATCCAAAGAAGTAGTGATTCTTGCCCAAATTTAAACATACATCAGGCATTAGAAGTAATAAAAATTGAGGGAAAATTACTAACCACATCTAAAGCAATCTGTTTAACAATCATTCAGAAAATATATCAAACATGTGTGGCTTCACTGAAGACCGGAAAGTGGCACTTAGCTTAGCCTCTTCAGGAATACACCTCGCAGAGAAATGCAGGTTGCCATTTTGAGACCAACAAGATACCCCGTTTCAAGTTCTTCCTTGCAGCTTCGACAATCGTATTTGGGTGAAACTTTTGCGTTTGAGAGAGGCTAGTTGTATTTTAATCTTTAAATTCATATGTTTTTGAGGCAACATGTATCAGTACATTCAAACGAGAAATGTAACTTGCATTTTTAGAGCTCATGTCAGTAAACATTCCTCTTTCAGCAGGCCTAATATTAAAAGTAACCAATTAACATTTTTGAAAAGTTACATTAATGTCATGATGAAAGAAACGCTCTTACCTAAAATCCCAGAACTCTTTCTCAAAACGCGTTAGCCACTTGTGCCTCGTGTATCTGGTTCCTCGGTTATTTCCCAACCAGACATCGTACCCGGCATCCGCAAGAAGGAAACCTAAAAACGTAAATATAAATTTGTTTTAGTTTAGTTGTTCAATCAGCGGAACTCATTCATTGAGTAAAAGCTGAAACTTCCGCTCACGAGTATTATGAAATGTTTGACCACGCCTTCGGGAAATTTTAAACTACACCACTACAAGCGGTAAATTACTTTACATTGCCTCCCCCGTAACCGTCAGCTACAACTGTCAGCAATTCGTGGCACCAATTCAACCGGTGATGAAGCATTGTGTGTAAAACTTTTATCCTTGTCCCCTGAAAACAAGGCACCGCTCCAACGGAATTTCTTCACGAACATTGTTTCGTTGAATTATACACGATGTGTGTTCACGCCCTGATCATCTGTTTTCAAGCAAACTTGTGAATGCAACACAAATATGGTATGTGTAGGTGATTTATAATGCCGGGGAGGCGTAATATAAGGGGCAAGTCATCACTACAAGTCAAACGAATAATTTTAGTTTGTTAATTAACCTTATGGTTGGTGAAAATAAAGCCATGGTATGAATTAAGAGCTTGCTTAGCGTCATCAAAAATCACTAAATTGGTAAATATTTGCAAGATATGGAGCACGTCAAAGGTGAGATGCTACGCTAAAGTTACATCTCATGCAACAGCCCCAAAGCTGGCGTCTCGAAAACGCGAATGCTAAACCCGCGGAGGTGTTGTCAGCCTTTTCGCACCTCTAGCCTTGCGCCTGTCGCACGACTGAGAAGTTCAGCTTGCCACCGCACTTGGCAGGCACTTAAAATATTGTCAAAATTGACTGATTTAGATATTTTGAATGACGCTCATAAACTTTCATGGTAGAATCAGATGTACATGTTCACTAATTAGAAGGCTTTTATTTGGAGTTTTTTTTTCACAAAAAGAAAAAAATTAAGACAAAACCTGCTGTTGCAACTTGAGCAGGTATTCTCTCACTAAAACACGTCGACGAGAAAGGAACATCGTAAGAAGAATCGTTAAGTTAAACGCACCAACACGAACATAGCTGCTCACATTATTGCACTAAGGGTGCGCGAGGTATTCGAGAACACAACTCCATGCTGAATAACTTATTATACTCTTACTATGCCCATCTAGACGCTTGACGTTGCCTTCGAGTGCATCTGTAATCTATGTGAATTACCAATATCAAAATGGAAGCTTTCTGATAGACACATGAACTGAAAAAGAATGCCGTCCTGATTTCCTTGGCCGCCGCTCATAGCATTTTGGTTATAGCCACCTTCTTGAATTTGTGAAGGTTCATTGCTTTCAGGGTCAGAAAAGAATTTTAGGTTTCTGACAAAAATAATGCATCTTTGAATAAGCGAAAAAAAAATTCTCAGCGGTCAGACCTCATGAGGAGGGTTGAGTTTGTCTAGCAGGCTGCAGGACATAGTTAACGACGACCCCAGAAAATCAATGAGTTTCGATTGCCAAGCAGCTCGAAGTGGCAGAACCCACTCTCAGGCTTGTGATGCTTCAGGATACTACCCTAGCAGCACACTTCGCCGGCTTATATTTGAGCCACACTGGCGCAAGCTTGGAACAGGCTTGAGCCAAGTTTACTCTGGCTCGGGCAAGTGTGACCCAAGCCTGGGCCCAGCAAGTGTGCTACTTGGGTAAATACGAGTCGTAGTAACAAAAAACGGGCAGTTTATCTCACAAAAGCCCCAAGAAAACAATGTCGTTTGGTTCAAGCACGTGTTAAACAAGCTAGAACATCCCAAAAGAACCGGAAGTGTTTTTTTCCGATGGTACTAACTTTTAATTCAGAACAAAAGGAATACAGGAGGAATGAGAGGTTACTATGTTTGAACCTCGATAAAGTTCTTACGGACATGCGGGCAAAGTCTCTTTCATTGTGATGAACCTAGCCGTTGTGAGCAACGAGGGTCACGTCATGCCGCTTCACGTTTTTCGTCGGAACCTTAGGATCAACCCAAAGCCTACATCGAGACCCTGGGCACTGCAGTAAAACAATAAACAAAACGTGTGGGCCAGGGGAGGCCGTTCATGGTTCAGCAGGACTCCGGTCCATGCCACCCGGCACACGCAACCCCAGATTGGCTGACTGGCAAACTCCACGAACACGACATCTCCAACATGTGACCTTCTAACTCTGCAGATGTAAACCCGCTGGACTACTATGTCTGGCGCGTCGTCGAGTAAAAGACCAACCGGATGCCTCCAACACTGAAAAGTCGAGAAAGGCTGCGATTGTGGACGTTTTCGGCCGTTTTCAAAGCCGCTTGGAGTAAGTAATTGTCACTGAAGGTGGTTTTATTGAATAAAATATTTCTAGAACACGAATAGAATAGAGTATTTCTGCCAAATTTTGTGCTAATATGTGATTGTCTCTTTGATTTTTTTTTTTTTTTTGTTGCTGAAACCACTGTTACGTGCATCGTTAGATATTCGCAGAAACTAAAACAGAAGTACAAGCGCAAACCTCCCCGTACCAAGTTACTCAGTCACTTTACAGAAAAACTAAATTCAAACACGTCACAGCACACTGTAGGCAACACATGCATACTTGTATGGTCTGTGATAAAAGTTTAGTTTACACTTTATTTTATTTGCCATGGAGGTTCACGGCTTTTGTTTCCACTTCATTAAGTAACGATGTCAGAGCCTACTGCAATGAAGCAAAACCATAATTGGTATGGGCGTTTAATTCTCTACATATATCATCTTGACCTGTGACATACCTTCAATAAATTTGGACAAGCATAAAGTTCAGGTAAAGCATGCCACATTATGCATCCTCGGCAACGAGAACCTATACGACTGGTCAATGGGAATGTCGTTATGTTTTAGAAAAAAAGTTCGCTCGAATGGTGCAAGAAGGGAACACATAAAAAAAAAAATTCAATAGCCCTTTTTGGGGTTAGTTGAAGTTTCGTTAAGTTACGTTTTGTTGTTTGGCCCCAAACTAAATGATAAGGTACTGAATGAGTGCAAAGATAGCAATTTTACACTTGCTCGAATGATTATCAATTTTTACAGACGGGACCAATAGATTTGTAAATTCCTCAATGTAAATGACCACCGTCCTCATTCCATAACAATTATTCATTCAAAAACACGTCTAACATCTTGGTGAATTTACCCGAGCAATTTGATTAAACATGACGTTATTTGTAACAAATCAAGTATTAGTCTATTTCGCAATCGAAATAGCACACACTTCGTCTCATCAGCCTTTATTTTTAGCCCATTTACTTAGTATATAAATCTGTTTGAAATACTTCATTTGCCTCACGCTGTCTTTCAGCCACAATGTAATCTTTAAAAAAAAACTAAAAGAAACATAGAGTCGTTTCATGAGCATCACAAACAAGGTTATCGTTTGGTTCACATTTTTTGATGTACTGTACAAAACAATTAATAAAGTGGCCCTGGTGGGCTACCCTGAGAAAGCCTAGGTTCCATCTCTAATGGGTGAAATAGAGCACTTAATACCAACAAACTGCGTAAAGTATTGCAGACAGGCTTAGAGCTGTTCCATTAAAAAGTTAATTAAGATATTTTCAATAATTATTCGGCTTATAGTGATTATCAGGCTCCTACAATATGTTCCTCTGGTCCACCTGCAAAGACCAGATTAGTGCAGCTTTCTCGGCTTTTTTTCAAACATATCTATAAAGGGCTGAGCGTTAAGATATTAGACATATCACGACTGGAATTTGTTGATTTCTGGCTCACGTAATCTCCCAGAGGCGCGTAAATAGAGTAGTCCTTTCAACACTTAATCCCCCACGTATAGAATTATCTAAATTGCTTGTCATGCTTATTTGATTTAAAGAGGGCAGCTCTTAGGCACCCGTTTCTGGGTTGAGCGCGTCGCCGTCGCCATCGGCGTAACCGCGCGTTGCATTATGAGACGTTTCCCATAATGACGACACACATGACGTCACTGTGACGTCACGAGGGTAACATTTTCTCGCTTAATTTGGCGGGAAATGTTTTCGCTAAATTTAGCAGGAAACGTTTACCCTCGTGACTTAAAATGTGACGCCATACAACCCGGGAGACTTTTCGCGCTCAATTTCAACGACATCAACACGTTGGACCACTGCATTCACAAAACCTATATAGCCACTAGCAGCTAAATACATGCAGGTCACCTCTTATGCGCCGAGACACTGAGAGAGCGGAGGAGTCGTCATAACGGTGAGCTCTGGTGGAAATATTTGTAGAAGGCTAGGCCTAAAACTAGCTGTCGTTGTCACCACGGCACTCGTCGAACGCGTAAAAACGCAGAACACCGGCGCCCGGCGCTTGACTTTTGCATTCGACCGCATTCGACGAATCAAGTGGAGAAAAAAGCTCCGTTTGATCTACCTGCGATTTCATGCGCCGGTGCAGAAAGGTGTCGAGTGGTGTACTCTCGGTAGTATCTTTATACGGAGAGCAAGTCGTCTGCTTGCGCAGAAGTTGCGATGACGTCAAAACGACGCCGAACTCTTATTTGACGACTGAAAAAAAAAAAAAAAAAAGTGGGTAGATGGATCTCAATGCTAGATGCTTTGAGGTCGACCAACTATTTTTTTTTTTTTTTTTTGCAATCAGTTACGAGCTCGGCGTCGTTTTGACGTCAACGCACCAGAGTTGGTCGTGAACGCACCTCCCGCACAAGAAGCATTCGACTTGCTCTCCGCATACTGACACCGGAAGTACACTGCGCTACACTTTTGTGCATTAGTGCAGGTGGTAGAGGCATATCAAACAAAGCTAAAGACATTCGTTGCCTTTGTTGCACTCGTTAAACGCGTTACAACTCGGAACGCAGGCGTCCGGCTCTCGCATTCGAACGCGTTCAACGAGTGCACTGGAGACAACGGCAGCTAGCTTTAGGTCTACCCATTAATTCTTCGGAGCTCGGCGTTCTGGCGCCCCCCCCCCCCCCCCCCCCCCCCCCGCGCCGCTCTCCTCTCCTCCTGTCCCTCAATTTCTCGGTGCATTCTCTTCGCGCTTTTTGCTTAGTGATTTATCCGTCAAAGT